TGACACTACCTGACAGGCCCACCAGCGGTTTTCCGGGGAATTAAAATAAGCGTTTAGGTTATTGGTTTGTGGCCCTTTTTTTATACTTATATCAAATACCTTTCTTGATTTTTTTCTTAAAACTTATAAGTTTAAGTTTATGATTTTTGTTTGTTGCAGACTTAAACTTTTAATTAGTGCCTTATCACTCATGGTTTCATGTTCAAAATTTATTTACAGGCTTTTGTTTGTTTTCGAAAGCATTATAAAAAGCTTCAATTTATGGTGGCTCTAATTTTCAGTTTACTTTGAGGTCGCAATGAACTACGCAAGCAGGTACTTCACTTGACCGTTAGCACCTTGAAATCATTTTATGTTCGGGTATGAGTTGATTTAGGATTCTTAGATTTGTTGTTGGATTGTTGAGTAGTTATAATATTGTTGTTGAATTGTTACATAAGTAGTTGGATTTTTGCTGGTAATTTTTTTATTTTTATTTATTTATTTATTTTAAATCGTGGGGATACTGAAGTGTTTTGCTTATGCTCATAGATCTTACATCGTCGGGTACAACTATAATGGGTAATGTTATATTAGACTTTTCTTGTTATATATGAATTTTCTTCGCACGTTAAATTTTAAATATTTTTTTCCCTTCCGTAAAGATAATTCCTAGCTCTGCCCCCGTGAACTATCAGTTCTTATGCTAAGATTTGAAATTTGAGGCCTGCACTACACTCTTGAAACCTGAATGTGTTGCAGTCAGATTATGTTCTTTACGTTTTGTTTTGAATTTTATGTTTTAAACTTTGATACTGCTCCCTTGGGCACAAAGGCATTATCAGGCGTAAGATCTTGAACCCAGTGTAGAAATTCAAATATGAATGAATGACGCTATAACTTGACATCAGCTCATCTTTCACTTTTCAGTTTGGTGAACGGATCATATTAACAGATAATGGTCATAGATACTCAGAGAAAATAGATCTCAATGCATTCATATGTAGTTCCCCACCAGAAAGTTGCAAAGTGTAACTTTTTTCATACTTGGTAGTGCAAAAAACTTGTGACAACTTTTCTGAGAACCAAAATTATCAAGATAAGCACAGTTTTACAAAATTCTAGCTGAAAGGATGGCTAAGTTTCTTCAAGAGGTCAACACTGATAAGAAAAAACGACGACATAAAGCTAGCAAAAGAAAATTACAAAGCCATTCGCATTGTGTAGCGCTTATTACTAGAGCTAGAATCGAGTTGGAGCTGATTTGGTTAATTTGTACATAGTCTTTTTAGTTAGTTGTTATGAAAGAATAGTTAGTTAGTGGATGGATGGATGACAGCAGGCATAATTGAATTCATTCTAATGTGCTATTTATATAGGTGATGTATAGACAATTTTTGATTGATTGGAATACAATTCAATTCTTTACATTTCCATTTCTAAATTCAATATGGTATCCGAGCAATAGACTTTTCCACATTTCTAATTTTGAATCATTTGATTGTTGATTCCTATATCAAATGGAATCACAACAATATGATAATTCTAGAACATCAGTGCACAAATCAGCCATTGATGATCCTTCAAGTCTGTACTTCGTTCACCATTCTAATAGTCCAGGATTGATCTTGGAGTCGCAGCAGCTGATTGGAGATAACTATGCCTCTTGGAGCCGTAATATGACAATCGCACCATCGGTGAAGAATGAGGCTGGATTTGTTGATGGATCAACCTGAAGGTGTAAATTCTGATTTGCTCAACTCATGGATTCGTTATTTCCTGGATTCTGAATTCCATTTCTCCCAGTGTGATATATGTGGTCACGGTGTATGAAATCTGAACAGATCTTAGAGATAGATTCCAATGGAAAAATAGACCAGGTATCTTCCAATTGAGAAGAGATATGATGAATCTGGTTTAAGATCTGAACAATGCAAGTGTTTACTTCACTAAATTAAAGCTATTTAGGAGGAATTGAGCAATTATTGCCATACCTGCGATTGTGAAAAGGCACCTGTGGTGGCATAAAGGAATTGAACAATCATTATCAGATGGAATACACTATGTCATTCCTAATGAGGTTACATGATTTTCTCGCAAATTAGAGGGCAGATACTATTTATGGATACTTTACATCGAATTAACAAAGTGTTTCTGATTTCACAAGAAGAAGATTGGAACTTAAATAGCATCTGAAATTGATCAAAATAGAGGTACAGCCTTTGCTTTTAAGATTGATAATAGCAAAGGAATTCATCCTAGATCACACAACAATGCTTCAAGTTTGGAAATATTGTAAGTGGTAAGAAGAAGGAAAGACCTTATTGCACTAATTGCAATTTCCATGGCCATTCCATTGACAAGTGCTACAAAATACATGGCTATCCACCTAGCTATAAGCAAAGATCAAGAGAGGATTCAGTCAATCAGATTTCAACCACTACATCAATTCCTCAAATTGAAAATGGGCAACATAATCAATAGCCAGGATTTGGAAGTTTTGTGCAAAACCTGAACTCTGATCAATACCAACAACTAATTCCCATGCTTTCTTCTCACTTGGCTTCAAGTTCCAACGTAACATCCTTAGATCATTGAGACAACAATATCATATCATATGCTACTGGTATATGTTACTCTATATCAGTAAATCATTTTTTTTTTATCCAAGGAGAGTTGGATAGTGGATTCAGGTGTAACTCGGCATGTCTGCTCCATTGCCCCTGCTTTTTTATCATTGAGAATTCTGGATAATTCTGCTGATATTTTACCTAATAACACACATATACCTATTTAATTATTTTTTTTTATAAGTAATCAAATATTTTATTAATCATGGATAATACACAGGAAGCGTATTATCAATTAATACAAGCCAAAAAGACATGAAATTAGGCAACCCGTCTATGCAAGTAATAGCTATAGCATTAACCAAATATACAGTGTCAGGTAAAATAATTCTTTAATCTGCTCTGTTGTCCGTGTATTATATTTACCCTCTTGCTAAACAAAGAAAGTTGTCGTTTGAATCATATAATCATTTTTCAAAGAATCCATTTGACCTTTACATTGTGACATTTGGGGTTCATATCGAGTCCCATCCTACAGGACAAAGATTTTTCCTGACATTAGTAGATGATTGTTGAAGATTCACATGGTTGTTTTTGTTGAAACGAAAATCAGATGCTGCAAATTTTGTTCCCAGATTATTTAATATGATAGCAACTCAATTCAATGCCAAAATAAAAACCTTCCGATCTTGTCAGATGAATTCAGAATTCAAGAGAAAGAAATAGCTTTTGAGATTTCTTGAAAAACCGTCTCTCTTACATGCTGCCCTCTTCTCAATATATATACAGATAGAAATGGCTTTACAAGGAAATTATGTCCTACATATGCTATACAATCCCTAAGAATATAAAAATATAAATATGAAAAGAAATCTTCATTATTATATACGGTAACACCCTCCCCTCAAATTGATGCGGGGAAGTCAACCATCAACAATTTGCTAACAAGAAATTGATGTCGTTGTCGAATCAATGCCTTGGTGAAGATATCGGCCACTTGAAGATCAGAAGAAATGTAAGGAAGAGATATAACCGGACCCTCTAATGTATCGCGGATAAAATGACAATTAACTTCAATGTGCTTGGTGCGCTCATGAAAGACAGGATTATTGGCAATTTGGATAGCACTCGTGTTATCAGCTTGAAGAGGAGTAGAATTAGCTTGAGGAAAACCCAGCTCCTCCAGAATACCGCGTAACCATATAATTTCTGGGCAAGCCATAGACATTGCATGATACTCAGCCTCAGTAGAGGACTTAGAGACACGATCTTGTTTCTTACATTTCCAAGAGATCAATGCATCACCAAAAAACACATATCAGCCCGTAGTAGAACGACGTGTATCCGGGTAACCAGCCCAATCAGCATCACTATAAGCAACAAGCTGAAGAGATGACCCTGTAAGAACAACCCACGAGAAGGTGACCTGCAAAGATAGCGAATAATGCGGCGGACTGCAGCAAGGTGAAGATGCCGACGAGAAGACATAAACTGGCTCACTTGATGGACGGCATATGAGATGTCCGGTCTAGTAGTAGTCAGATAGATAAGACTCCCAACCAAGCGACGATAGAGTGTGGGATCATCCAGGAGATCTCCTTCATCTCTTCTGAATTTCACATTTACCTCCATAGGAGTATCAACTGAAGAGGTATCCTCCAAACTAGCTAATGTGATAAGATCTTGAGTATACTTATGCTGGTTTAAGAAAATGCCATTGTCTCGATGATGAACTTCCAGCCCTAAGAAGTGAGGCGATCCATGTCCTTATATGGAAAGTGGCATGCAACAGATTTTGAAGTTTAATAATCACACTGCAGTCAGTGCCAGTAATAATTATATCATCCACATACACCAAAAGGAGAACAATGCCTGCCGCAGACTTGTGGAAGAAGAGAGAAGAATCAAACTGACTTTGTGTAAAATCGAATGTAAGAAGCGTACCACGAAATTTTTCAAACCATGCTCGGGGGCTTGCTTGAGCCCATACAAAGATTGCCATAACTTACAAACATCATGAGCAGAGGTAGCAGGTAAACCAGGAGGAAGCTTCATATAAATCTCCTCTTGAAGATCACCATGAAGAAAATCGTTCTTCACATCCATTTGATGTAGTTGCCATGATTGGGAGGCAGCAATAGCTAATATTGTTCAAACCGTGATCATTTTGGCAACAGCGGCAAATGTTTCCTCATAGTCAACCCTATATTCCTGTTTGTTACCCAGAGCTACAAGCTTTGTATTGATCCAAAGAACCATCAGGTCGAAATTTGACTGAGAATACCCATTTACTCCCAATAGGCTTGACCGTAGAAGGACAAGGAACAATGTCCCAAGTATGATTCTCCTCAAGGCATGAAGTTCTGCTTGCATTGCATCCCGCCAATACTTATGTTCCATAGCCTGTTTGTAGCAAGAGGGAATAGAAATAGATGATAAAGTAGTTACGAGGGAAAGAGGAGGAGAGAAACCATACCGATCAAGAGGTCGAGTAGATCGACGAAGATTGGTGACAGCTGTAGCAGGATCAGGTGCCGAGTTGAGATCACGAGGGGGCATAGAGGGAGTATGAACAGACTCATGTGGACGACGGCAGGCATACACAAAACCATGTTTAAACCTTTCCACAACCGGAGGAGAATCAGAAAAACTAAGCAAAGGAGAGAATGTTACAGATGGGGGCTCGACATGAGAGTGAAAGAAATATTGATTTTCAAAGAAAACCAAATTTCTAGAGACACGAATACGACGAGCATTAGGATCATAACAAACATAACCTTTTTGTGAGGTAGCATAGCCAAGAAAAGCACATTTAACAAATTGAGCAGTAAGTTTATGTCGTTTATGAGCAGGGAGATGCACAAAGCAGACACAAACAAATGTACAAAGATTAAAGTATGATGGAGGATGACCAAACAACCTAAAGTAAGGTGAATCATGATTTAATGTAGGAGATGGTAAACGATTAATTAGAAAAACAGCAGTAGATGGTGCTTCACACCAAAAACGAGGAGGAACGGATGATTCAAGTAAAAGAGTTCGTACCACATCCAGAAGATGGCGATTTTTCCATTCAGCAACACTATTCTGTTGCGGTGTCGAAGGACAAGAACGCTAAGACATGATTCCTTTGCTTTGGAGAAAGGCTTGAAACTCATTAGACATATACTCTCCCCCAGAGTCAGATCGTAGGATTTTGATATTGGTAGAAAACTGATTCTCAAGAAGAGCAAGAAAGCGCTTAAAGCATAAGAAAACTTCAGACTTAGCCCTTAAAAAATAAACCCAAGTGAAGCGACTAAAGTCATCAATGAAAGCAACAAAATACTTGTAGTGTGCATGAAAAACAACAAGGGCAATCCCCCAAACATCACTATGGATAGTATCAAAATATTGTGAGGCATGAGATGCATGAGAAGGAAACGGTAGAACTTTACTTTTGCCAATTTTGCAAGTTGTACAATCAAACGAAAGATTAAGTAAAGAACTTGTTTTATTTCCCAATAAACTAGAATTAAATAAAGTACGAAGTACATCCGAGTTTGGGTGGCCTAAACGTTTGTGCCACATTTTATTTCTTGTAGTATCAGTACTATATGCTAAGGAAAGTAAAGGAAAACGGGGGATGACTGGGGAAGGAGAAATATGTAAAGGGAATAGCCGTCCCACTTTAGGCCCCTTCGTGATCATCTTCCCGGACACTGGATCCTGCACAACATAGCCAAAGTGAGAAAAATGGACATTATAATTGTTGTCAACCAATTGACACAGAGATAAGATTCGTAGAAAGGGTAGGAGATACAAAAACATCAGGTAAGGACGGGGAAAGATCACCAATAGCACTTATAGGCAGAGAATTGCCATCGGCGGTATTAATTTTCATATTGCCATCATATTTTTTGACATTGGAAAGGAGATCAGTTGTATTAGTCATATGATTGGAGGCACGGAGTAAAAAAACCATGGCTTAGAAGAAGTGGAGTGATTACCCGAGATTCCAAAAGCAGAAAAAGTCATCTGTTGTACCATTTCAGGAGTGAGTGTGTTCGAATTTGGACTAGGAGCAACTTGCGAGGCAGTATGCAATGTAGTAGAACTAGAGGCACTAGTGGAGGCATGATATGCTGTGCTGTGTTTCCTTTCAGGGCGAATGTGACAAGCTGAGAGAATATGACGCGGTTTCTTGCAGTAATGACAAGATTTCTTAGGACAATCTCGAGCAAGGTGACCAAAAACTTTACAGTTATAGCACTGGACATTACGCATGTCCCGATTCCTATTCCTCCCTTGTGCTGCATAAGCTACAGGAATCGGAGTGTCGACAGCAATCCTTTGTTCCAAGGTTGCTTGAGTTAAGATACGTTGTTCTTCACGGAGAAGTTCACTCAAACATACATCCAAAGATGGTACCGGATGACGATTCATCAGATTAGAACGTGCAATCTGGAAATCTGAACGCAGCTTCATCAAAAATTGGTCTCTCTTACTTGTTTCATGCACTTTTTGAACAGCAGAAAGAGCTGCAGCTAGAACATTAGCATAAACAATATCCGAATAATCAGTCCAGAGATTTTGGAAACTCGAATAATAATCCTCAATTGAAAGATTTCCTTGGGTAAAATTAGCCATCTCATATTCCAATTGGAAACGCCGAGCCGTATTGTCCTGCTTGTAAATCTTGCTCAAGTAATTCCACATGTCATCGGCTGTTTTATAAGGTCTCAGATTGAGTACAATGTGAGGCTCAACCGAGCTAAGAATTCATGTCATAACCTGAGCATCCTTTATTTCTCACTTAGACAAAGCATCGACATCTGTAGGGGCGGGATCACTTCCATCAATATGACCCCATAACTCATTTCCTTTGACAAATAATTGAAAATGAAACTCCCAAGCAGAATAATTCTTTCCAGTAATACGAATGTGAAACGAATTCGAAGACATGATGAAATAAATAGCCCACTATATTATTACTGAACAAATAAAATACTCTTGCAAGAAGAAAGATTATTAAATTCAAACAATGCAACGACTGTAGCCTTAAAGCCAAACGGTAAATTGACCCACTAACCAGAGGAACCCTCGCCGGAAGAGGAGACCTAAACAACTGAGAGAGTCGATTGGGAAGAGAAGACTAGAAATCCGACAGAACCCATCACAAACAGAGACCCACTGGAATCTGAATAGGAAGAACTGAACAGTGTCGCCAGAACTAGAACCCGGCAGAACAAGGACCCAAAAAGGCACACCAAAAGTCGGCGATCAGAAGCGCCGAATCACACACTAAGAATCGATGACCAGAAGCGCCAAATCGTACACTAAGAATCGACGACCAGAAGCGCCGAATCGCACATCAAGAATCGGCGACCAGAATCGCCGAACACAACCCAGATGGAGTCGCCCAAGGAGAATCGACAGCAAGAATCAGGTACCAAGCTCTGATACCATGTCAGATGAATTCTGAATTCAATAGAAAGAAATAGCTTTTGAGATTTCTTGAAAAACTGTCTCTCTTACATGCTGCCCTCTTCTCAATATATATACAGATAGAAATGGCTTTACAAGGAAATTATATCCTATATATGCTATACAATCCCTAAGAATATAAAAATATAAATATGGAAAGAAATCTTCATTATTATATACGGTAACAGATCTGATAAAAACCTTCAGATTTTTTTATTTATTATTTATTATTATTTTTTGGCTATGAATGGGGTTTTACACCAATTTAGTTGTGTTGAGAGATCAACAAAATTCAGTTGTCGAACACAAACACCAACATCTCTTAAATGTGGCAAGGGTACTATATTTTCAATCACAAGTTCTTGTCAAATTCTGGTCTGACTGTATGTTGGCAACTACTTTTTTGATCAATGTAACACCACCTCTACTTTTGAATCACAAAACACCATATGAGATCCTATATAAGAAAGCTGCAAATTACTCCTCATTCAGGGTATTTGGTTGTTTGGCTTTTGTTTCAACCTTGACTGCTCACAGAAACAAGTTCCAGCCAAGAGCTCGATTTTGTGTTTTCTTAGGAAATCCCTCTGGTGTTAAAGGCTATAAGTTGTATGATGTAGCTTCTAAACACATCTTATCTTGGGATGTGGTTATCCATAAGACATATTCCCTTTTGATACAGTGGTGGAGGCTGATCACCTAGTTGATCCCTTTCTTGATTTAGTGCTGCTAGTACCTTCACTATCCTTTCATTAAGAAAGCAGTGACAGATATCATGATAGCTCCATATCATCAGTGCCTCAGGACCTTCGTCTTCAATAATTCAACATATTGATGATGTAGTTGATCGTTCCAATGATCAGCAATTGAGTGTTCCTCCAACTGTTGATAATCAAAAATCACAGAGGGTCATTTGACCTCCTACATACCTTAAGGATTTTTATTGCAGCTTGTTGTCTCAAGATTCCCAGCCATCTCCGCAATTGCCTTATCACATTGATCAGTATGCATCCTATGGAAAATTAGCCCCTATATACGGACATCTGGTCCTAAATGTTTCATCTCACCATGAACCACAGTTCTATCATTAGGTTGTTAATGATCCTCAATGGCGTGCAGCCATGAAGCTCGAGTTGGAAGCCATGGAGCAAAATAAGTCATGGTCTGTGGTTGCTTTGCCAATTGGTAAACATTCAGTTGGTTGTCGATGGATATATAAGATCAAGTATAAATTAAATGGAACCACTGATAGACGTAAAAGTTGTTTAGTTGCAAAATGATACACTCAACAGAAAGGGCTTGATTATTTTGATACTCTCTCTAGTGGCGAAGATAGTCACTGTCAAATTACAATTGGCACTTTTAGGATACAACAAATGGCACTTGGTGCAATTGGATGTTAACAATGCATTTTTGAATAGGGACTTATTTAAGGAAGTGTACATGGATTAGTCTCTTGGTTATGAGGTTCCCAACAACGTGAATCATTTGGAGAGATTGGTGTGCAAACGACACAAGTCCATATATGGACTCAAACAGGCATCACGCTAATGGAACTCAAAATTCTCCCAAGCACTGATTGAATTTGGCTTTGTCTAGTCAAAAGCTGATTATTCCTTGTTTATCGAAGGTCAGGGAAATCAATTTGTAGCCTTATTGGTGTATATGGATGACAGTCATCACTGGTCCTAGTATCTAAGCTAGAGATTTGTTAAAAGGTTTCCTACACACTCAATTTAAGCTAAAGGATTTGGGAGTGTTTTAAGTATTTTATGGGGATTGAAATAGCCTATTCTACAGCTGGTATTGTCATTTCCCAAAGGCATTACGCTTTACAATTGCTTGAGGATACAGGCTATCTAAACTGCAAACCAGTTGATACCCTATGGATCCCAAGTCACATCTCAGTTTACATGAAGGTGATCTCTTATCAGATGCATCCCAATACAGAAGATTGATTGGAAGGTTAATCTATTTGACATTGTCCAGACCTAATATCACTTATGCAGTCCACAAGCCAAGCTAATTCCTTTCATTTGCTTCGTTGTCTAACGAAAAGCCCTGGCCAAGGCATATTTTCTCAGCTTCTAATGCCAATAATGGTTCACATCTCAAACTTCAAGCTTTCTCAGGTGCAGATTGGGGCTCTTGTGTTGACACAAGGAAATCCAAAACAGGTTTTTGCATCTTCATTGGGGATTCCATGATCTCTTGGAAATCTAAAAGACAGGCAACCATGTCTAGATCATTAGCTAAAGAAGAATATTGAGTTGTAGTTGCCACCGTCTGTGAAATTGTTTGGATTAATCAATAGCTAAAGGATTTTCAGATGAAT